GTCCACAGTCTCCATTTGCAGTTACATCTTCTTTATGGCTTCAGATGGAGCAAAACAGGTCTGCGATGGTTCCAGCATATGCCTGTTGACCTGGGTCCCTGGGGTCTGATCACTTTGCCTCTTTGCTTTGTCCCTTCAGCCTAATGACTTTCTGCTGTGACTAGTCTCTGGGATCCCTCAGTGTCTTCTGTTTGCTTTTGTAGCTCTCCCATCATCGGTGTAATCAAATTTCTGGATTAAATTCCTTCTGCTGACTCCCAATATCTGTATTTTCCTGAGTGGGCCTCGACTGACACACATTCCATTACTGAATGATACATGCTGTGTAGACCTTTATGGGAGAGTGAGACAAAATCCAGGTGACCTAGTAAATATGTAATAGAGTGATACAAATCCCTGAGGCTGGTATAATTCAGAATGAATAAGGCTGGCATGTATAGACAGAGCATGGGACTCAGAATCTAGATCAGGGGTCCTCAAACTTTTTAAACAGGGGGCCAGTTCACTGTCCCTCAGACCGTTGGAGGACCGGACTATAGTTTTAAAAAAAACTATGAACAAATTCCTATGCACACTGCACATATCTTATTTTGAAGTAAAAAAACAAAACGGGAACAAATACAATATTTGTATTTGCATGTGGCCCGCGGGCCGTAGTTTGAGGACCCCTGATCTAGATTCTTGCATTCTGTGTTCACCATTTCCTCTAGTTTGCTTAAATGAAGTAAACATTGCTTTGGACCTAGAAAGCATATTCAATACCAGTTGTGAGTATAACACTGTAATACTATTTCTAATATAGTGATATATCAGCAGCATTGTGACCAAATATTTAGAAATTGTATCTTTTACATGCACAAAAATAATTTTAGTAAGAAGAGGGAGAGACAATTCATAAAAATATTGCAGAGGAAAGGATGGGGAGAAAAGCCTGCACTATGAAGCCTCTCCCATGAGATGTCTGGATTCTTATAAACATACTAGAGGCCCGATGCACGAAATCCGTGCAAGAGTAGGCCTTCACAGCTGCTGCTTCATCCGGAAGGTTATCTGGAAGGCTGTTTGGCCATTTGGTCAATTTGCATATTATGCTTTTATTTTTATAGATACTTTGTGATTTATATGATTAAAATCTCTGAAAAGTGAACTAAGTTGTTACTGATGGCATAGCAAAGCACCTTTACCATCTTCAAGAGGTCAGGGGACAAATCAAAGGTTGCTATAGTGATACAACCATCAGCCCATTTCTTACTTAGAATGTTAAATTGTTGACTCAGTTACTATTAGGGTAGCATGACAATGATTTAACTCCTTTTATATACTGCACTAGGAGTCTAGTGAAAAGCTAGTGAGAATTCTTTGAATAAACCCGGAATTCAAGATGGACAGGTTGTTAGGATTCTACAAACCCATACATGAAACTACATTTATCCTCCCCTGGGGCACAGAACAGCAGAATGTGCTCACTGTCCAGCCACCTTTTGTACCTCCAAGACACATCTCTGTGGCAACAATTGCTAAGGGATTATAGCTGAAAAAAGTTGCTAGGGTGAATTCCTATGCACTTTTCTTGGACACCTCCAAGGAATGAATCAGTCACTTGATCATTTTTTTTAAATATATATTTTGTACTTAAAAGACTAAGTCTTTCATTTTAGGGGGAGAAGATATGCACCTTCCTCCTGCATTTTCCCTGCTGTTAAATACTCAATCATAAGTAAGTCAGGAGTGAAACTGTCAAACCCAAGAGACAGTCTTGTTTTTCTTAAGAGAGGAAGAGATATATTTCCTTCTGCTTTGCTCCTGGTTGATAAATACATAGAAAATAAGTAAAATAGTAAATCTATATTTTCATTGTTGAAAATATACTTAGTGAAAGACAGAATATTTGGTTTTGTGTACGTGTGTGTGTATGTGTGTGTGTGTATGTGTAAAAGAGAGAGAGGGAAAGAGAAAGAGAGAGAGAGGGAGAGCGTCAGTTTGGTGGGGAGTTAGCTAAGCTGACTTGGTTAATGTTGATTATAAACATTACTTGAGTCAGTTGCCTGCATGATCCAGTTTTTCCACTTTTCAAAGTTTACTCTATGGAAATAATCAAATATTTATTTGACAGCATTGATAACAGCAAAAATCAGAAACAGTGTAGGTGTCTAATAATAAACGATTGGTTTAATAAATCATGGTACATTATACATCTGAAAACAATATAGCCTTTAAACATCATTTGGAGGATAGTTTAGCATAGTGATAGAGAACATAAGCTTTGCAGTCTTCAGGCTCACACTCTGTTGTTTGCCAGCTGTATTATGTAGAGGAAAGTTTTTACCTTCTTTAAGTCCCAGTGTTTTTTTTCATTTGGGAGGGACAGTACATCACTCTGATGTAGAATTGTTATAGAATTTAAAGAGGACACATATAAAACCCTTTACAGAGGGCCTGGCTTAGTGAAAACACTCAAATAGATGTTAGCTGTTATGGTTGCAAAGGACAGATAAGGGTGTGCAGAAGGATATGGAAAAACATCTATCTTCAACAAAGGAATGGTGGTTGAATTTGTTTTCAACTGCTTTTGAGCACTTACCAATGTATTTATAAAGTGTTTTTCTTATAATTTGTGGGGAGCGGCTATAGGGTTAAGCCTCAGACTGACCTGTTGGCAAAG